TGTTAATTTTATATTCCCCTCCAATTCCTTCTTATTTTAAAGACTTTTGTTGGCATTCTAATGAAGTTGTTCAGATATGGAAGTATTATTTCCAGAGGAAGTGTGTTATATCTCTTTGTAGGATGGTTTTCACTGACTTCTTAGGTGACATAGGAGGGAAGTGTTAAATTTTATTTTAAAAAATATTTTATTTATTTATTTTTAGAGAGGGGAAAGGAGGGAGAAAAAGAAGGAGAGAGAAACATTGATGTGAGAGAGAAACATCTATTGGTTGCCCTTCTGGGGACACCCTGAATGGGGACCAAATTTGGAACCCAGGCATGTGCCCTGAGTGGGAATCAAACCTGCGACCTCTCACTTTGTGGGATGCCAACCTACCAACTGAGCCATACTCGTCAGGGAAGGAGTATTAAATTTTTAATTAATTTAGAAAGCCTATATGTAAGTCACTGAAAATGTTTTATTAACTACTTTTGAAAAATTATAAAAATACAAGCCAAACTTAAAAAAAAATCTAAACAGCATAGAATGGTATATGGTGGAAAACTAAACATCTTCTGGTCCTTCCTTCCTATTCCTAGTCCCATACTCTTGGCAGAGGTTTACACTGTTAAGTTTCTTCTCAAAGTTTTTCATGCATATATAAATAATGAATAGCTTTTTTTTTTTGAATGATAGAGAATAGTAGTAGTTCTTCAGCTTAACATTTCACTTAACAAGAGAGGGAATGGCTGTGGCTGGTGTAGCTCAGTGGATTGAGCGCAGACCTGCGAACGAAAGGATTGCGGTTCGATTCCTAGTCAGGGCACATGCCTGGGTTGCAGGCCAGGTCCCAGCAGGGGACTCACGGGAAGCAACCATACATTGATGTTTCTCTCCTTCCCCTCTAAAGATAAGTAAATAAAATATTGGAAAAAATTACAAAAAAACAAGAGAGGGAATGTAGGGGATCACTAGTAAAAGGCATTCTTGAGCTTATATTGATTTTTTAAAAATATGTGTAATGGTTTGACTTGTTATAGGAAGTGACATAATTATATAACACATACGACTTAATGAAGCTAAAAAAGAGAAAGCATTAGGATTTTTGGCAGTCTTTTTTTTTATATTACTAAGATTGATCTTTTTAAAGATTTTATTTATTTATCTGTAGAGGGGAAGGGAAGGAGAGAGGGAGAGAAACATCAATGTATGGTTGCCTTCATGCATCCCCTGCTGGGAACTGGCCTGCCGGGAACTGGCCTGCAACCCAGGCATGTGCCCTGACTGGGAATCAAACCGCGATTGTCTGGTTTGCAGGCCCACGCTCAATCCACTGAGCTACACCAGCCAGTTAGTTTCACTAACTTAATTGTTTTCCTCTTTAGAAAGTAAGTACAGAAATTAGTTTTATTGTAATAGAAAGCATTCTGTAAAATACTGGTTCCTTATGTATTGTCCCTGAGAACAGGACCTACTTTTACATGAATTATTTAACATGCTCTTATGATAACTCTTTGAGGCAGATTCAGTGTTATACCCATTTTTGCAGACGAGGAAAGAGGCTTCAGGTAGTAAGTGACACAGCTGCTAAGTGGCAGCATCAAGTTTCAAAGCTAACCCATACAGTTATGCTGCAGTAGCAGCAGCAGCAGCTAGTTATTCATATTGTTAAAAATTTTTGTCTAGTAGACAGTTGACTAATATGCCATATTCAAACATCACAGTTAATTAATACAAAAATTTGGTGAAGTAATCATTATTGAAATATGTTTGACAGAGGGATTTGTTCTTCCTGGATCCCAAACTCAGCAATATAGTAGTAGCATTTGGGGAGCTTTTAACAAATACCTATTCGTGGATCTCCCACACCAGACATTTTGATTGCCTGGATCTGGGGTAGAGCTGAGAAATCTGGATTTTTAACAAGCTCCTGTTTAATTCTTAAGCATCCAACCTGGCTCCAGTTTAGAACCACTGAAGTATGTCTTTGTTTGAAATTTATGAATATGGGGTTTCAGTTCTCTATGTTTTCTCTCTGAAGATAATGAATCATTACTTTGTAAAAGCAAACCTGTGAAACTTGGAAGTTCACTTAATGATGTGTTAAAACAAAACTTCATCTTACTGAGCTGTGTTGTATGGTGCTGTAAAGGATTTATTTTCTTCCTAGGGTCACACTGTAATGGAAGGTGAGTTAAACTGAGGACTTTATCTTGATTCTTTCAGAGGCAGACACTATGGAAATATTTTCTAAAATGTACAAACTGGAAAACAAAATTAAATATCATAACTCAAAAGGCTCTAGAAATGAGTTGTCTGTTTCATTTTCAGTTGAAAGCAAGATACTACTTATCCAAAGAAATAACTGTGGATTAGCTCTCTTACCTTGTCATTGTTTTAAATTTTGAGTCTAGATTACCATTCTTCTAAGACGAGAGAAATAAAAAATAAATCACTTGGTGCTATTATTTTTTATATATTTTTCTGCATTTGGGTAGGCCTGAATATAAGAAATAAAAATTTTCTTGCCTTCTTTAGAAATTCTACTTGCTATGAGCCGGAGAAGAAAGATTAGCTGTATTTCTGGCATTGTTAATTTTTAGTGTACAAAGTATTTTCTTACAGTATTGTGTATGAGCTTTCCTACTATGGGTACAGTGAAATTAGAAAGTTATATTAAATTCAACAAACACAATTTTACTGAATTACATAAACTGCAAAATAATGTGGGAAATACAGAGATGAATATGGTAAAGTTTGTGTAAAAAGTGGTAAATAAAATTAGGAAGGGGTTGGTTCCATTTGCTCGATCAAGGGAAACTGTGGAGGAAATAGAATTTCAGGGAGAGATTGTCTTAGGGCACAGAAATTGAATTTGTGGAGAAGACTTTCTAGAAGGGGGACATGGCATAAGCAGTGTCTTAAGTAGAAAATGGGCATTGTTTTCTAAGAATAGTGACTGGTTTAGTTTGGTGTTAGTTTGTGTGTGTGGCTGTTCTAAATTCTTTGCATTTTCCTATAAAATCTAATCAGCTTGTGAAATTCTCTAAATGAAGTCTGCTGGGCTTGTGTTTGAAATGTAGTTGAATCTATATACTTAAGTTTGGGGAATATTGACATCTTAACAATACTGAATTTCCCACTATAGGAAGATAGTGTATGTCTTTACTCATTCACATGTCTGTAAATCCTCTTTGGCAGTAATTTGCAGTTGTAGTATAGAGGTCTTACACAAATTTTATTAAATTTATCCATAAGTGTTTCATGTTGTTTAATTCTATTGTACATAGTATTTAAAATGTTTTTCAATAGTTTGTTGCTGCTGTATAGGAAAAATTGATTTTTGTATATTGCCTTTATGTCCTGTGACTTTGTTAAATTAAAATCCAGTTATTAGGTAAAATAATCTTTTTTTCTAATGGATGCTTTAGGATTTGCTGGGTATTTAGTTAAGTTGCAAATTAAGACATTTATTTTCCATTCTAATTTGTATATCTTCTGTTTCTTTTACTGACTTAGGATACTGGCAATCATAATAAATATATAATGTTAACTAGAAATAGTGAGAATGGATATCTTTTCCTTCTCCACTTGAGGGGAAAATACTGTTTTTCACCATTATGTATGATTTAAAGTGTAGGTTTTGGCAGAAGTTCTTTAACAGGTTGTGGAAATATCTTTCTAATCCCAGTTTGCTGATTTTTTTTATCATGAATGAATGGAAATTTTGTTAAATGCTTTTTTTCTGAATTCATCGAGTTCATAAGATAGAGTTTTTCCTTTGTTCTGTTCATGTAGTGAATAACATTGCTTTTTTGAATGTTTAAACCAACTGTGTTCCTAGAATAAATTCTACTTGGTTACGATGTATTAGTTTTATATTATTGAATTTAATTTGTTAATATTTTGTTAAGGATTTTTGTATCTTTATTTATGATGGATATTAATCTGTAGTTTTCTTTTTCAGTTCTGTCTCTGTCTTGATTTTTGCATCAGGAACATGCTCTCCTCGTCAAATAAATTGGGAGGCTTTTGCTTGCTCCTTTTCTGTTTTCTGAGAGTGTTTGTATAGAAGTGGTGTTAAGTCTTCCTTAGGTATATAACAATTCACCCGTGAGACCTTTTAGGCCTAGTGTTTTGTAATAAGGTTTTAAATTGTAAATTCAGACGAGATCGGGCGCGTTCAGGGTGGTATGGCCGTAGACTAAATTGTAAATTCAATTTCTTTAATTGGTTTAAGACTACTCAGATTTTCTATGTTTTACTGAACTAGTTTTTGTAATTTGTGTTTTTTAAGATTATTTCATTTCATTTGTTATTAGATTTTTTGGCCTAAAATTACTCATTTCCATTATCCTTTAATTTTCTATAGGGTATATGACCATATTTCATCTTTTCCTCTTAGTGTTGGTAATTGTTTCTTTTTTCTCTTTTAATCAGTCTTAACAGTTTATATTTATCCATATATTTTTCATTTTTATTATCCTTATTCCTTTATGTATATTCCTTTATGTATGTCTCATCTCATTTTCCTTCTACCTGAAGAATTTCCTTTAAGTTTTTTATAGTGTAAGACTATGGACAATGAATTCTTTTTATATTTGCTGGTCCGAAAAGGTTTATTTTTGAAGGATGTTTTTGCTGGAAATGGAATTCTAGATTGACATTTTTCTTTTGACAAGTTAAAGATCTCTGTTGTTTTTTCACTGTCATTGTTTCTTGAGCCAAGTGTTTGGTAATTCTTATCTTTCTTCATGTTTGTGTAGTATGTTTTTTGCTTCTTGCTGCTTTTAAAATTTTCTGGTTTCTAGTAATTTGATTATGAAATTCTTGTGTGTGTATGTGTGTGTTTTGTATATATGTTTATAATGTTTTATCAAATTTGAAAATATTTTGATCGTTATATTGTCATACTTTTTTTTCTGGGACTCAAATTACACATATATTGGTTCTTTTGATATTATCCCATACATATTAGCTCTCCAATATTATCCCATGGGTTATTGTGGTTCAGTTAATTTTTTCAGTTATATTTCTCTTTACAGTTCAGTTTTCCTTGCGCAGGGGCCATGCTAGTCTTTTCTGTATCGTTCCAATTTTAGTATATGTGCTGCCAAAGCGAGCACTACAGTTCAGTTTTAATAGTTTGTATTATTATGTCTTCAAGCTACTGATCTTTTCTTTTATAGTATCTAATCTGTTGTTCGTTCTGTCAAGTGTTTTATTACAGATACTGTATTTTATTTCTAAAGATCCCTTTTTGGGCCTTAACATCTTTTTCCTCACGGTGTTCCTATTTTTTTTTAAATCATTGAGTAATTTCTAATAATTGTTTTTAAATCTTTGTTAATATCACCGTTTTAATTTTAGGCCTGTTTTTATTTATAGTTTTTCTTCTGGTTACAGGTCACATTTTCTTGCATCTACACGTGTCTGATAAATTTTGAGTAGATTGCAGACATTGTGACTCATATTACTGAGTGTTTGGATTTTGTTGTGTTCTTTTAAAGACTGTGGGACATTGTTAGGACAGGAAATCAAGTTACTAGAGATCAACTTAGTCTCTTTAGTCTAAGCTTTTTAGACTGAAGAAAAAGAGTGAGACTAGAGTAACTTTTATGTTAAGAGTTTACCATGTTACTAAAGACCCTTCTGAGGTCTTTATTGAGTGCCTTGAGTTTTTAATAATTATTCACTACTGTGATCCCTTCCAGTTTAAAACATCTCCCACTCCTGTTTGAGCTCTGGGACCTGTTGAATATATAACTCCTTGGTCATTTTTTGGCCATCTTTGTTGGAGTTTTACCATATGCTTGAGTAACATATTCAAGGGGACTGAGGATATCTCGAGTAACATATTCATGGGGACCCATGTAGAATTTTGGAAATGTTTCTCTGCATAGCTTCCTCTTCTGTATCTCTGCCTCACAAATTTCAGCTGCCTTTTCCTTCTGAACTCGAATCTTTGCCCTCTCAACTCAGTGATACTGCTCTACTCTTATTGAGATCCCCTTTTTGCACAATGATCTGCAAATTGCTTCCAGACAGGAAACCAGATTGCTGGTAAAGTTCATATAGTTTGTTTTCCTTTTCTCAAGGATCCTAGTCTTACATTGATTATTTTCCAACTTTATAATTGTTGGCAGTAGGAGGTTAAATTCGGTCCCAGTTACTAAATCGTGGCTGAAATTAGAAGGGTCCCCCTTTTAGGATGATAAATGTAGCTAACAGAAAAGATGTGATTGGAGAGTGGAGGCAGGGTTCTTGAATGAGAGCAGTATTTATGAAGCCAGGACATTCGCATATGTCTGGTCAGGTGTTACACTGTATTGTGAGTGATGGACCTTGGAAGTATGTGGTACTTAGCTTAAATGACAGCTTTGTGTGTAGGCAGAGCTGGGTGAGGACAAAAGTGAGAGTGTATAGATGTGAACTTGATAGAACTTCATCTTAACTGAGTTAGTAGTTGAGGTGGAGTGGGCTAACTGAGGTGATGTCAAGGTTTTTATTTTGTGGGATTTTTTTATCATTATGGAGGTGAATAAGCCCTATTCACAAGGATTTCATGAGTGAGATTTAAATGAGATCATTCATGTGAAAATGCTTTCTGACAACCCAATTAAAAAATGGGCAAAGGACTTGAACAGACATACAGAGGGCCCAGAGAGACATATGAAAAGATGCTCAGCATCATTAGCCATCAGAGAGATGCAAATTAAAACCACAATGAGATACCACTTCACACTGGTGAGAATGGCCATAAACAAATCAACAAACAACAAGTGCTGGTGAGGTTGTGGAGAAAAGGGAACCCTAGTGCACTGTTGGTGGTAATGCAGACTTGTGCACCCATCATGAAAAACAGTATGGAATTTCCTCAGAAAAATGGAACTGCCTTTTGACCCAGCAATTCCATTGCTGGGATTATACTCTAAGAATCCTGAAACACCGATTCAAAAGAACTTATGCACCCCAATGTTCACTGCAGCACAATTCACAGTAGGCAAGTGCTGGAAGCAGCCTAAGTGCCCATCAGTAAATGAGAGAATAAAAAAAACTAAGGTACATTTACACAATGGAACGACAACAGTCTTTAAGGTTTCTGTAGAATATGAACATGATCCGTTATTACAAGCATTGCCACCCTATTCACTTTGTTACATATTCTTACACTCATCTTCCTGTATCACTAGAGGGGAGAGAATGCTTATACTTTTCCATGGTAAGGACATAAAAAGTCATGTTCTTTCCCCCGATATATAATAACCTGTAAGAAATGGACAATAGGGTAATCTGCCCTAGTACAGATTACCTTTAAATTAACTGATTTTTCTGCTTGATTTATCTTGATTCCAACCAGATTCTGTTGGTGACTGTGTATGAGAGAAAATGTCCAATTTCATGATTTCCAGAAAAAGTCATATACAGGACCTCAAAAAGGCAAAAATGGTTGTAACATTTTAAAAATGTAGTTGAAATCCTTGATTTTTATCTTCGTTCATTCCATTAAATTACTTTAGATGCCTATTTGTGTTTTTAAGTGTTTAGTTTTCATTTCTAGAATCTTGATTTTTGTCTTTTTATATCTTATATATTTCTAACCTTTTGGAATACATGAAATAGTTTATAATAACTGATTTAATATCCAGGTGTGTTGATTCTTATATCTATGTCAGTTCTGGTTAAATGTAATTGATTGATTTTTTTCCCCCTTCTCTATGGTTTATACTTTTTTGCTCCTTTCTATGCCTTGTAATTGAATGCTAGGCATTGTGAATTTTACCTTGCTGGGTGCTGTATATTTTTGTATTACTAAACATATTCTTGAGCTTTGTTCAGGGAAGTAATTACGTTACCTTGAAACAGCTTTATTCCTATGGCCTTGGTTAGGTGGGTTCAGAGCAGTGCTTGGTCTAGGACTGATTGATTATTCCTCAATACTGAGGGAATCGTTTTGTTGTTCTACCAGTGCCCCGGGATTCATGCAGTTTCCCAGTGTGGCTTCTGGGAACAGACACTATTCCTGGCCCTTTGTGAGTGCTTGGCACCTTTACCTTTTGTCTTTTGGGGTTATTCTTTCTCTGGCTTTAGGTGGCTTCCTCACTTGAATCTGCTGATCAGTACTCAAAGGGAGCCCTCTGCAGGAGTTTGCTTATTGTCAGTGCTGCTCTCCAGTTCCCTGTCCTGCTCATTCTGTGAGGTCCATGTCCACATTTCTCTATTTATTGAATCCGTCAGTCTTGGTCTTCAGTTCCCTCTTTTTGTACATCAGCCTGGAAACTTTCTCAGGTTTGTAAGTTTGGCTCATCTAATTTGTTTCTTGCCTCTTAGATATTACTGTCCTTTGTTGCCTGTGTCTAGTGACTTAATGGTTATGTCATCATTTTCTTCATTTTATGCTTTTTTTGGGTACAAGAGTGTGTTCCAGTTCCTGTTATTCCCTATTACTTTATTTTTACTTGAAACAGAAGTTCAGCCTATTTTTATTTAAATTATTTTTTAAAAAAATTTAGTTCCTCAGTTGCACTAGCCACATTCTAGTTGTTTAATAGCCACATTTATCTAATGGCTACCATATTGGAGAGTACAAATAAAGAAATTTTCATCATTGTATAAATTTTTTCTGTACTGTGTTCATTAGGCCATATATTATACAATGTGTGTGTGTAGCAATGTAAAAACTATAATTAGATTTGTTTTTAACAACTATAACAGTTAAGTTTATGTTTAAATTAGGTGTATGTATTTCTATTTGTACACAGAAATCTAGCTTTTTAATTATGAGTTATCAACTTTATATTACTCATCTAGTGGATTGTGAAATTGGGAATGCATTTCAACTTAAGTGCTCTTTTTTTTTTTTATTATGCTGTCTCTGTATAGCAGGTTGAGAATACTCTGGTGTTAATTGGGTCATTTTTTGTTTGTTTCTTATGGCATATATTCTCATTGATAATCTAGCTCTTTATATTCCTAGTCTAAGACAGTGTTTGACATGTAATAGTTGCTTATTCAAAAAGTATTTGAGCACTTACTATGAGCTTGGCATGTTCCTTGGATGGAAGACTACTTTTCACTGGAAGCTTAATAGACTATGAGTACCCATTGCCTCCATAGAGGCTATAATACCCTAAAAGTAGAATGAACCTATATCTTGATAACTTAAACTGTATTTCCAGTCAGCCTACCAGTTCAGATATGGGATGGCACAGTTGGGCTGCTTTATAATCTTGGTGAAAAATAGTGCTCCCCTTTGCTTAGCAACAGAGCTGTTTCATGCTGAGAGTAAAGTCTATAATGGTTTGGTGAGAACTATTCAAGAGCTCTGAATCTTAGTTAACCACCCGAGTTCATGAAAAATGAAAGCAAGAATTCAGTTTTTATAGGAGAAACAACTTCTGCACATAGGAAACTTTTATTTTGAGTCTATTCATTGTAAATTGAGAAATTGGGGGCAGTTTAACAAATATTTGTTTCTTCTTTTGAGTTGGCTGTTTAATCTGTGTAGCTAAGAAAAAAATCTCACATTCAGGTTATCAAATGCTTATTTATTAAAATGGTTATTTTTGTTATTTATCATTTAATTAAATTGTTTGAAAATAGTTCATTTTTTATGTTGGTGTAGACAAATATTGAATTAGAAGAAGTTCACAGGCATATGTTTCAATTAGCTTTAGTATTAAAAAGAAATAGCAAGATTATTGTTCAGTTTTTTTGACATGACAGTTAATCTGAAAAAATCTAAACAAGTAGCTGCTGTAAAATACTATAATGCCTCTTTTTTTACAAATGAATTTCACTATCTCTGGATTGTAGAGTTTGAAAAAGCATTTGTCACATATGTAATTTATTTGTATTTTCACTTATCCCCAAAAGAATTTGAGTTGGATATACTCACTTGCTATAGAAAATAAATGGTAAGAAATTAAAATTTATTAATTAGTAGTATATATTTCTTTTTTCAATAGGATTTTGTTAACTGGATTATGGAGTTTGGTGTAAGTAATTTTTGTAATAGTTCTATTTTAAGTAATTTTAAAGGTCTTTTAAATGTGTGGAACAAAAATTTAGTCTTGAAGAAAAAAATTTGCTTTGATATTTGAGACATTTTTTTTTTAAATAGCTC